ATATCCTGTGCAATTTCAGCATTATGCTGAAATTTTATTTATTCACTGTTTAATTTTGAGACAAAGTCTTGATTCGTAGCCCAGCTGCCCTCAAACTCATGGTCTCTCTGCCTCAGCTTCTTGAATACTGGGAGTACAGTGATGTGCCACCACACCCAGCTTGATAAAAATAAACAAAAAATTCTATATTAACTTGAAAATGGGAAGTATATTGTCTCTTAGGGTTTAGAGTCTTTTGAGAGTATACATTCTTCTGAGAACTTAAGATCTCTGGCCTAGATGCCTTTGTAGCCTCCTTGCTGGCTAAGATTTGTCACATCTAGTTTCATATTTTGAAACAGTTGGTGATTGTCGCACACTGCTGTTGCCCCTGCCTCTGGGTGTTTACCACTATTTCATAAACCCGAAGAGTAGGGCCTACAGATCATTCCACAGCTGCCTAGCAGTTGTGACTGCTAGGTTTGGGCACCAGGTTCCTTTAGTACTTGGTGACCATGACAGACTGCTGGCATGGAGTTCTGGACTCAGTTTATTTGTCACAACATCCTTCCCCATCTCTTACACTCATTTTTCACCAGTACCAGTTCTCCTTTACTGGCTCTCTCCTTCAGCACAATAGCAGCCATTTCCTCTTCCAAAAATATCCTTCCCTCAATTTTTGCCCAGCAAACTACCAGCCGTTAGATCTTTCCTCTCACAGTCTCATGACCATAGCCTCTACTCAATCTTCAGCTCAATTTTTCATTCAGATTTTAATTTTTAAAGTTTTCTCAAGTCCATGTAAAAAATATTCAATACAATGAAAATATTCATTGTAACCATATCAAAGTAATGTAAAATGACAGCCTGATGTCAAAGCATTCCTCCACTAAGACCGCACCCAGTCTTTCCATGTAAGCTGATATGGTTCCTTCCATACTTTTTCCTCCCCAACTGGGAACTTTTAATACTTTATTTGGATATAGGATTTCTGCAGATATAATTACTTAATATATTATACTTTCATTAAAGTGGACTATAAATATTCTAATGTTCTTATAAGAAAATGATACACAGAGATTTACACAGAGACACCATATGAGGATAGAGTCAGAAGTCAGAGTAATGCACCTAGAAGTCAACCAGAGTGATGTGCTCACAGGTCAGTCAGTGATGTACCCACATCAACCAGAGTGATCCTTCCATACTTTTATCAGTTATCTATGTGTCTAAATGCTGCAGTTTCATGTTTATAGAATATCCCAATTTTCCAAATACCATTCTGAAATTTTTTCCAAATCTGTATATATGAAGGTCCAATTCATTCTTTTTGAACACATCGTGTACTGTATAAAATTCTTTGTTGGAAAAGCATATCATAATTTCTTTTTAATAGGTTGCAGATTATTTTGAATTCCTATCTTTAATGGATTTTCAGGTTCTTTCAATATTTTCTCTTTAAATCTATCATGATGGTTACGTTTGATGTAAATCTCTGATCACATTGACATTGAACAGTTAAATTTTGGTTCTAGAGAAAAAAAGACAACACACATAAGGTCCTTGTAAACATTTTGAAAACAGTAAATAGACTAACGGTGTTTAGTAATAAACACCATTGGTAAATAGACTAATGATATTTGCTAAGACATTTATCTACATAATGCTCTTAGTGGGGCATAGCTGGTTAAGGATTGTTCACAGTAAATAAACTTAGAACTTACAGACTTATTTTACAAGATCCTGAAAGTTAAAAACCCTACTTAACTAAACACAGTAAAAAAAATGGCAGGAATCCTCTAAGGGCTTCCTACCATGTGAGGTAACTTACACATCCATTGCAATCGCAAGTGCACCTGTGTCGTGCAATGCCAGGAGAGGACAGAAGGCATCGGATCCCCTGGAACTAGAGTTATAGACGGTTGGTTAGGTGCCATGTGGGTACTGGGATTCAAACCCAGGTCTTCTGCAAGAATAGCCAGTGCTCTGAACCGCTGAGCCATCTCTCCAGCCCGTAGAGCCCATCTCTTAACTGTAGGCAAGATAACATGTGTCCTTTCTAAGAAATAAGCCCTGGGTGGCAACAGGATGTGCCAGTGCTTGACTTTTTTATGCCCTGAATATTTGAGTAGTTTGGTATGGGTAAAATCTGAATGATGCATAGAAGTCTGATTTGACAATCTGATCCTGTATGTGAGCACAGATTCCTAAAAATTAACTGTCATCAAAAAAGCTGTCAATTTCTATTATGACCAAGAGTACAAGTTTGTAACCAACCCATGACCATTCAAATTTGTATTTTTCTACTTATTTCTATTTATTACTTTTACATTTGTTGGATCTTTAGATTTGTGTTTGTGTGTGTGCATTTACCACTAATTTTCTTTATACCCCTTTTAAATTTTTTTCTTATTAATTTAGAACCATCACAGTGTAATGCTGAAGTGTATGATTCTGGAGCAGAGCATGAGGCTTGCTTATGGATCTGCAACTTGCTAAATGTGGCTACAGAAACACTGGTGTTAATGCTCATTTCCTTAAGTTGGTAAAATACATGTAACACCAAGGATAACCTAATACACAGCAAATGCCCAATGGTAGTCACCCACAGGACTTCTCTGTTTTGTACATTAACTCTTTCATTATTAATTATGTTGATTATTCACCTCCTGTGTTTATCTTTACTTATAGATATTTGTAAAGGGATTTTTTTTTCCCAGCAACCAAATCTATCATTTCTCCCTCTGTGGGTATTATGGCAATATGACTTTTATCTGAACCATTTATTGAATTGGTTGCTTCAGTGAGTTCTTTTTCATTAATCTGTCTTAGCACTTTGTGATCAGAATCCTCTGCTGTCCTTCCACAGAAAAAAAATGTGGTCACTCCTTTTTGTTTCTCCAGAAGTGCTTCTTTTACTATGGCTTCTTTTTCCACATCACACTTCCTGAATGTTCTTATCTGTTGAATGACTTCAAAAGGCCCCTCTAGGCAGAAAACAGTGGCCCATCCAATCAGTATTTTCCACTGCTTGTTTCCAGCTTGATGTTCCACAACCACCTTGTTTAGTTTTGTTTCCTGTTCCTGTGATAAAATACCCTGACAAAGGCAACTTAGAGGAGAAAGGATTTATTTGGCTCATAAAATTCCAGGTTCTAGTCCATCACTGCCAGGAAGTGAAGGCTGCAGGAACTTGAAGCAACTAGTCACATTACATCCAGTCCAGAGCAGAGAGCCCTGAATTAATGCGTGCAGGCGGGTGCTCAGCTTGCTCTCTCCTTTTCATTCAGTCCAGGGTCTAGCCCATGAAACGGTGCTGCCCACATTCAAGGTGTCTCTTCTCACTTCAATTAACCCAATTAAGAGCATTCTTCATGGAGCCTGATAGATGGCTCAGCAGCTAAGAGCTCTTCCAGATGACCTGAGGTTGGGTTCCTGGCATCCATTATCAAGCAGCTCACAACTACCTGTAACTCCAGTTCCAGAGGATCCATCACCCTCTTCTGGCCTCTCAGGCACCTGCACTCACATGCACTTAACCACACATGGACACATCACTAAAAATAAAAAGTAAAAATTTTAAAAATCCCCCAGAGAAATGCCCACAAGTCAACCTAATCAGAATAACCCCTTAAGACTCCTACTCAGGTGATTCTAGATTGTGTTAAGTTAAAAATGAAAACTAAACATCATGTACCTTAAATTTCTTCTAAAACTGAATTTTATATATGATTTATATAAGCTAAAGTGAAACCATACTTGTACTTTTTCTTTAAATTACAATAAATAGGGCTGGAGCGAGAGCTTGGTGGTTAAGAATACTGACTGTTCTTGCAGAAGACCCAGGTTCGAATCCTAGCACCCACACAGCAGCTAACACCTGTCTGTAAGTCCAGTTCCAGGGGATCCAACAGTCTCTTCTGTCCTCTGTGGTCATTGAACAATATGAGTGCACTTACCTACATGCAGGCAATACATGCATACACATAAAATAAAAATAATAAAAAATTTTTAAAAGTTACTATAAATAGTATACATGAAACACTTATGAACAGAAGAATATAAATATTTGTTGAGTAATGGCATATGGTCTACATAATATGCATAATGTCTTCTGGGAAGACATAAAAAACTGATAAAAGTGGTTCTGAGAGAAAAAAAAAGATGTTTTACTGTAACTTCTTTGTGTCTCTGGAGTTTTGTGCCACCATAGGCAATTCCTACTTGAAAATAAATGCAAGTCTATCCATAAATACAAAGAACCCTCTCATCAATCCCAACCAACCTATCCCCTGTTCTGGCTGGTGCTCATGCATCCCCTCAGTCTCTGCTAAGCATTTGGCACTTGTCTCCTCAAATGCACATCCAACCACAACATTCTGCTGAAATCCCTCATAATGGGAATTTTTTCCACCTGTTCATTTAAAAGCACATTCAATAAGTCAAACACTGGGCTAGAGATTAAAAAAAAAAAGGTAGATGCTGCCAGTACAACACCCCCAAGAAGTGCCACAGCCTGGGCAAGCAAAGCAGTCATACCACACACAGCATTTCTTAAATAACCGATTCCTTCAACCACTTACAACTATTTATTTAGGTAAGAAGTCATAAAATATTTTTATAATATACATAAGAAAAGCTACATTTAAATGAATACAGCAGGTGACAGAATTTAGTGTTTATATCAAACCATTAATAACTTTAACAGAGAAGAAATCCAAAGTGTATTTAAAAGTTGAGACCAAACATTACAATATATTTGAATTTTTAAAAAGGTATCAGACTTTTAAAGGTAATAAATGGCTTACTGGTTTTTTTTTTAATGATTTCAAAATAGATTTCTATAAACTGT